CTTTCTCCTCCAGTGCACGGCCTTCAAAACCGACGGGAGCACCGAGAAGACAAAGAGATGCAAGAGGACGTCCACCCGAAGGCGCCGACCACCCCGTTGCCATCGACGTACGTGTTTGTTCTTCAAGACACCATTGAAGGACTCAAGGTGGTTTGTCGTTGGTATGACACCGTCAACCTCGCATCCGAGCAGCTTGGCAGCTGTCTGACGTCCATATTCTGACCAGCTTTTCCAGAGGCTATCCGACAGCCAGTATCCTACAAGGTATTCAAGGTGCGCGCGTGCTCCAGAGATAGCGGCAACATCATCGGCTATAGGTGTATCGCACTGCGCTTGCTGAGCACCTGCTGCTCGTTGATGATGAGCTGTGTTGCTTCAGCATGGTCTGTTGTCTTGAGAAGCGTGAGCTCAAGCTGCTGCAGGCGTGCTCGGAGGTCGGTATGTAGCGCTGTTGTCCCTTGAGAACCCGAGTGCGATGGTTACGCCAGGCCTGACGGAGATGGAACTTGCAGATCAGAAGCCATATGGCCGGAAAGACCCGGAGCAGCGCACCACGCTCCTTCAAGTCCGTGTCTGTGATGGCAACCCGTGGGGTGAAGGCCTGGTCATTACAGGTCCCGAGTGAAGCCCGCAGCGTGAGAGAAGCTTCTCTAGTATGTTCGTGTCAAGCCTGATGCGGTTTGCTGATTTCCAGAAGGTGCTGAAAACATCAGGAATGCAAGCGGCACACCACGCTTTCTTTATCTACGCCCATGATGATGAACAAGAGAAGCTTTCTGTCGCATAGGCCAAACGTCCATCGAGGATTAGCTGTGACCCATGTGAGTACCTCCATGCAGCCTCTCTCATCTCCTTAGTGGCGACGCAGACCTCGAAACGTTCATCCTTGGCTGCTCGTGCAGAGTAGTGAAAGACAGAGTCAGCGAATGCCTTCTTGTAAGCCGGGAACTCGGGTTCAGCCACTCATCCACATTGATATGAGGCTCTACAGTGATGTTCACACCACGAAGACGATTGAACTGTCGATAGAGGGAGCGCGTATCATCTTCTGGAGCAGCGGTATTGGGAGGTGCGGAGGTCCTGTGGCTGTTAAGGTATGATCTGGACCGGAACATGGTCCTGTTGGTCTCCTGTATGGCTGCAAGTTGTGCACCAGACTGGAGTTGCTTCAAGGCGACGTGAAGACAGCAGGGTGGAGCGGCATTGGTGGGATACGCAAAAGGAAGGCTTCTTTACAGCCCGGGTTGTGTTCAAAGTAGCCGCGAAGCAATAGAATTGCCCGGTCTTGACTTGGAAGAAGACCTCTGCGTGCGCCAGGCACCCAGTAAAGGGCACAGGATTCTTCCGTACTGCTGTCTGCGTGCCTTCTCATGATACCCACAGTCGCTATATATTGTTCAAACGAAAGAGGATGCCTACGGGTTTATGTATGTGCGTACCATTGGTATAATTGCCGACAAGTCTCCTGAGATCCCGGCCTGAACTGCGGCTCCATCGGATGCTCCAGCGGTTACCCAAGCTCTTCACCTTGCTCGAGAGCTCCAGACCTTCCCCAGCCAATCGTGCCGCTGCGCCACCTGATCTTCATCGTTCTCCGCACTGTATCAAATGACTTGATGTCAGTATGGCTTCTGTGCAGCTCCTCAATGCTCTGTCGCTGATCTTCAGTCAGAAACAGGTGCTTGATGTACATTTCAGAGAATTTTCGACGTGAGGTGAGTGCGCCCTTTTCACGAGCTGCTTCACTAGCATTAAGGACTCGAAACTGGAGCCGCTGAGGCAGGTGGTTTAGACAGCTTCTGAGGCAGGCAATTGGACATGATGAGGATGTAAAGCTAGTAGATCCTCGAGAAAACGAAACAACCTTCTCAAGTAAGTGTCTGCCTGTCTTGCATGCTTGGTATGCTGAACCTCTTCTTGCAGGCCCTTGTTTCAGCTGGCGCGTGAGGCAGGAACTCGGTCAACAAGTACATTAGATGAACATATCACACAGCTATACTGAAGGCTTTCAAGGATATGTACAAAGATAAACATATATTATCTTGACCCTTGCATGAGGTCCGATACCGCGAGCCGTATGCGTGGCGGCGGCGAGCATGTCGTCGGAGGTGCACGAAGTGCAAGGGAGGCCGACGGTGGTGGTGATGGTGCGTTCGCTCAAAATGGCAGGAGGTGGCGTACCAGGGGCGCTTCTTTGATTTTATCTGGTGGGAGATAATCTAACGCCTGCATGCCGAAAAAGGCAGTTCGTTGTTCAGGCTTACTCTCCGTATTTGCTCGGGGATTCCAAGAAGAACGCACCATTCTATTGGAAGGAATGGAATGATGGTAAGAAGAAAGTGGTAAGTCTGTTTGGACGACTTTTCCAACCTGGTATGCAGCTCTTATTGACTACCGGCATTCAGGGACGTCTTCAACATGATCTCATCATCAAGACATTTGCATACCACCTCAACGAGCTTCAAGCAGTCGCACCGACAGAGCGTACACTGGACTATCCCTGTGGCGCACTTACACTCTCAGTCCTTGCAGTACGTCTTGTACCGGCAGTCCGTGACCGCTGTGTCCTCTTACTGACCTCTGACTCGGGGACTTTCCACCCATCTTCATCTGATCTAGGTACAGCATGTACTCACACACTATGCGAGCGGTGTCTGGAGCCCACATGAGGGGCGTCTGGGCTGGTTCTCCGAGGACAATTACGGTGATACAACACAGTTCAAGGACGGTCGGAACATACTCGACAAGCGGCTTGGTCGAGTCCTTCAGGTCGCGGAGGACCTATCAAGCGAAGAGTGGACTGATGTGTACAAGGCGGCATGGGTGGTGGTGCAGCAGCGTCAGCAGAGGGGACGCCGGGGGAAGCATGGGCGTGTGCATACCGATGTACCTGCGGCGCTGACAGAGGACTCTGACGATGATCTAATGCTCATTGCTGATGCATAGATACTCATATGCCCGCTTGCCACTACCCGCTATTGTGATATTCAATGCAGAATTCTAGTTATCGTGTCCTTCCCGACAATGACTGTCAGCTTCTGGCGTGAGATTGTCCGTGTGCGTGATCTTGACTAGCGTCTTACGGGTCTCACAGTAAGACCCGCTCGTCTCTCACAGGACCATTCGTCTCTCACAAGACCGGACTGTCTTACACAAGACAAGGACATAACTTGTGGGAAGATGAGCCGGTCTTTCGTCTTTCTGATCCTTGCGGTCTTTCTGCTCTTACTCAAGATCGGAAAGACCGGGTGAGGTTTTCCTGATGCGGATACCACACAGGCTCAAGAGGTCTTCCTGAAATGATGGTAATGCTCGGAAGCAGTTGCGTACAGCTCGTACACAATTCTTCGCAAGCTCACTTACTTCACTCCCGGACTCATGTCCACGACGACACAGCACTTCCGCGACATCTACCAATTCCCACTGCAAACGGCCTCAAATACGTTAGGATGCATCGTACACTGCTGCAGGAAGATATTCCCTGTCGTGTACAGCTGGACCGATTCGATAGTCAGTGACAGTGAAAGCCTCGCGCGAGACAGACATACCGGATTGTCCTCTTCTTGCGTACCCAGCTGAACCAACATACACCATTTATTGTGGGTGACGTCGTTACTCGCTCCGCTGGCTTCGCAGGCCTCGCACTCCTCGCTCGAGCTGTTGTAGTATTTCCCTGTGAACGGAGTCAGTGCGGTGCGCATGGTCCTCCTTTTAATCAGCGCCCTCACCTTGCACGGGATACCCGAGAAGCTTCAGACCTTTCACAGGCAAATGTTGACGGCCCTCGCGAGCACTGTCGTCTTCGTCCTCGTCTTCGTCTTGATAATCCTCTGCGTCATCATCATCCTCTTCGTCGTCCCCGTGGGCGTCTCTTCAAAAAATGCCTCAGGCTTCCCAGGTGTCCACCGTGATATCACGCGTTCCGGGACCACGAGAACGTCCTCATCTTCCTCGAGCGCACTTCGGATAGAATCGTGCGACGCTGGATCGGCGAGATCATGTCCGTCCAGGCGAAGTGGACGGTGCGCACAAGCCAGGACTCGCCCTCCGTGACGCAGTTGACCCAACCTTCGAAACACGTGCCATCGTCCGTCACCGTCGCACAGACAAAAATCTGGAAGAGCGTCGTGCCCTCAGGCTGAAGCGGGCGCACGTAATGGCGGAACTCCTTGGGGGTGTGGGGGCAGGAGGCTGATTTGGAGGTAGGGGACAAGGTGGCTGTCGCAGGTCTTGCAGCGGGGCCAGTCTTCGTCCACTTTCAGAAGTGGCAGAGAGCCACCGACCACTGCGGAGATGGAGCCATCAAGCAGTGCACGAGAACGTCCTGGACCCCGTCCGCATATAGCGGGAGATATGGCGTAAGAGGCGGAGCTCGAATGCACCACAACCATAGCGAGGCTTGGACTGAGCTGACTATGGGTTCTAAGTGCAGCTGGCACTAGAGATACACCCCAGATGTGCGCCGGCTTTATGGCTGGAGCTCGGATAGACCTGTGACTCTTGGACTCTCGAGCGCAGAAGTGCGCAACAACGCGAAGTCTGTACCTGACATGGACATGGAATATATGAGCGACCATGAAGCGTTTCACGCCGAAAGATTTGTACCTTACCACAATATCAGGCAGGCACGAAGAAATCGGTTGCGCCAGCGGCCCTGGGTGTCGCTTCCTTGCGTCCGATGATGTTGACCTGGTATGCTATGCAGCTCGCCCTACGGCTAACACACCGGCGCACACCGACGGCCATGCAGAACTTGATGGCTTGCGTTAAGAAGGCGAAGTGACGCTCACATACAGTACGGCCGCGCTTTCGACGCGCTGCCGCAGTGAACGGGGACCACCTGATGGTACAAACTGAATCATGCACCTCGCGGCGCGGCAAGGCTCTCCCCTCCATACCGCGAACAGCGACCGGTCGCCATGGAACGGGGGCACTACAGTAGCTCTCTTATAGGCCCCGGCATTAACGTCTGGTTGAGACTTGAGAGATGGCAAAATCAATGCCAGGAGCGTGGATTGAACACGCGACCTCCAGAATTCAGTCTGTTGCTCTCCCAGCTGAGCTATCCCGGCCCCGATGACTCCCACCCGCATTATGCATCAATGTGAAATTGCTTTGTCCTAACCCAGGTGATTTGATGTCATCGGTGCGCCCAAGCATACCCACGCAGACGCCCATCGAGAGAGCTACTTGAACTCTCACTCGCGTCTCCGCATCCACATCCTACTCCTCATCGTTTGAACCCTCCTTCTCTGCGATCTCTTCTTATACCTTATACCTGGTTTCTGTCTGCAATGTCCGAAACAATCCGCAGCAAGTCTTCGGCGGTGAAGTCACCCTCTGACCTTCCGCCTCCGAGACCGGAAAGGCATCCGGCCTGTCTCGCCTCCGCTCTCCAACACGCCCTTGCATCGATTCAACTACTACATCGTCCTTTCGCTGCCATGGCAATTGCCTTCTACGCCTGGCGGCTTCTGCAATGGAAGACAGAGGTCGGGGTGGTGGAACCTCGCCCTCGGGAAGCGGCCCCCAGGGCGGACGGCGATCGTCGGTACTGCCAGCGCGAGCTCACGCCCACGGCAAGCGCGTCGTCCGGGGGAAGGATGAGCGTGGAGGACAGAATCAACGACCTTGCGGCCGCCTTGGCATGCCCTCTAAGGACCTTGCGGTGGCGATTGCAGACGCGGTGCGCGAGCACGTTCCGCCGGCTAGCCTTTCGTCCGTTGCAGCACACGAACCATCGGGGTAAGCCGCACATCTTCCCAGCCAAGCTTCACCTAGGATGCGCTCACTGACCATGTACAGGACAGCCGTGCAGTACCTCGTGAACCTAGTGCTGCTGCTGAGGCGGAAGCTGGGCAAGCTACCAGTATGGCGGGTAGTGCGGCGGGAGAGGTATGCAGGCCGTCTCGAGTGCATTCGAAGCCGCTGTCGGTTTGGACGAGCCTCCGAGCGAACTTGGTGCTGTATGAGGACTCTGGCACAGTATGGACAGTCTGTTGACATAGATTGTGAGCGGGGCTGGCGTATATGCATGGTCAGGCTTCTGTAATCTCTTGCAATCTGTGCAGTACTCCGTAATCATCAAACGCCGTGAAGCCATTTTCGCCGTTCGTGGAGATCCGCCTGAGCGTAGTTTCAAAGAGATAGGAACCAAATGGCAAAGTATGGGATGCGTTCTGAGGGTTGATCTCAGTACAGGTTCATGAATGGGCGAAGCTGAGAGTTTTGCACTGAAAGAAGTGCACCAGATTAGCTCTGAAAGGATTGACCAGATCCGAGTGCGTTTCTGAAGATAAGATTAGATCATATGACATCTGCCGATCACTTTCCCAAGTACCGCTCCTCGAGGCGCGAACCGTGCGTATTCATCTCTGCCATCTCCCTGTCCCAACGCCTCAACGTTCAACGTCCACCACACGCTATCAAGTGATTATGGCACCGAAGGGCGGAAACGCGAAGAAGGAGGCAGGCAGAGCTAAAAAGGCCGAGAACGAGGCCAAGAAGGCCGCCGCAGCGGAAGCTGAGAGGGTACGTCACCTCCGAGCACGGTACTCGCCGACACAGAGCGAGCGCTGTCACAGTGCGCGCGAACACAAGGAGCGCAAGGAGGCGGAAAAGTGGTCAGAGGGTGCGAAGAGTAGCAAGTCGAAGGAGGAGAGGAGGAGAAACGCCGTGCGGAGCTCGCCCGGAAGGCGGAGAAAGCGCGGCTGCTCGCGGAAGAGGAGGCGAACGCGCCGTCCACGGTCAAGACAGCCCCAAGGCCGGCGCGAAGAAGCGGCTCCCAAGACGTCAAGCCTGCAGGACCGGGAGCCATCGCTGCTGGTGGCGGTCTCGGCGCCACAACCGTGGCGGCGGACGAGGAGAAGCCTCGGGAGGTCGAGTCCTATTCTGCGACGGGTCTCGACAACGCGCTCGATTTGCTTGAAGTTGTCAGGCGAAGATGGACAAGGCGAGCGTTGGCTCGCAGCAGCGAACATCGAGCGGCATCCCGAGGTACGTGCTGCGGATGCTAGTCATAGCGTAGATGCTGACTTCATGCGCGCAGCGACGGTTCAAGGCTGCGTTTGAGGCATACAAGGAACGTGAACTGCCCAAGATCAGACAAGAGGTTTGCTGCTCTTTCCGGGTTATTTCCGGGTCGCATACTGATGCTTAGTGGCATCTTTCTAGCACCCCGGCTTGCGTCTACAGCAGTACCATGTAAGCACTCTGAAGGAACGGGTAAGTCGTGGACCGCTGGACACACGTTTGGCGTTCCAGGATCTACTCTACAAGCAATTCCAGAAGTCGCCAGAAAACCCGTGCGTTGCGCCACAATGCCTATCAGCAAAGAGCTGTGCTGACTGCACATCGCTTTCCACAGCTTCATCAGGTCACTGTTGCGTACGACGCTTCCAAGGATGAGAGAATGGAAGGCTTAACCGCAGGAACGCCGAGATTGCAGAGAGGCTGCGGGAGAAGAAGTGATTCGCCCTTGTTGCCGCGTCTCATGATCCTTGTATCTGGTACGCCGCGACTTGTCTCCGCGCGCAGCCGTCGACCTTGAGCAGGACGCCACATAGACACCATCTCAGGAAGGACTTCGTGTATGGTTGTACTCATCTCATAGTCAATTGACTATGTGTATCACTGCGTGTCATTCCAGGCCCCCTGCGCGCTTCCTTCCCTGGGGCTTACTTACTGAGGCAGGAGGGCTGCGGTGTTGCAAGCAAGTACCAGCCGTGAAGCATCCATGCATGCCTCTGGTGCTGTTCACCGGCAGACCCCTTTTGGCGATCGCCGTGCGTTGATTGCACATGAAGTGCACGCTTAGTACTGTATCACGGACTGTGACTTACATATACCACTTTGTACCGCAATCAGGCCCAAGGCAGTTGAGTGCCAGCACGGTCGACGCAGCCTTGAGGCTCGGAGCTGCGGCCATCATGCATCGACACAGGAGAGCACAGCGTCTGTTACGCGCGCTTCCTCACGGCGGTCACCCAGCGCCTATGCTTACATAAGAACCTCGATTTTTCGTTTAAGGGCTTGCATCCCGCCTTGCCCACGACCTCCATCCCTCATCCATCTTCCTTCCCGCCTCTGCTATTGGACGCAGCCAGTATGGTCTCTCACCTCTCTGTCTCAATACCATCATCTCCGGGTTCGCCCACATCGCCGCCGTCGTTGACGACGTCGAGCCCGGCGTCGCCGCACCGCACAAATACACTCGTGATCACGCGCCTTCCTCCCGCCTTCTTTGCTCCTGTCGTCCAACAGGCATTGCGGAGTCACTTTGAGACGTATGGGCCCCTGCATACATGGGCGCCGATCAAGGGCCTCGCGCGTGTGATCATGGTGTACTACTCTGAGGAGGACGCAGAGACGGCGAAGGAGAGCAACGACGGGCTTATCCTCGGCGACATGCAGGACCAGTACGTCATCTTCCCATTCTGCGCTTGTGCGGCCCAAGTGGGACTGACTGACTGCTTCTCGCATTCCCATCTCTGGATAGCCCTGATCTGGTGCTCCGCGTCTATCGCGCTGACCCCACCCCCATTGAGACGTCAGAGACGCAGGAGCATAATCACTACCTCCGGCCACCAACTAACGAGAAGAACTTCCTCATCTCCCCACCGGGCTCCCCGCCCGTTGGTTGGGAGCAAATTCGCGAGGATCCGCCCAACGCCACCCCGCTCGCGAATGACCTCATTGCTGCGCTCCGGAAGCTTGAGCTGCAAACCGAGCAGGAGCGGCGCGGACCTGGACCCGAGGTGCTCCTCGAGCCTGAAGATGGCGTCGGCATCAGCGTCTACGTCGAGGACTGTGACGCGACCGCGCCTGCTCCCGAGGAGTATATGGAGGAAGACTGGGTATACGGCGAGGCTCCCCCGTCGAGGCTGCGCTGGCGACCGCTTCCAACGTCAATGCCACCTGTCTCCGTCATGACTTGAGCTGGACTCCTAGGTATGTGTCGCACTCGAGTGCCGTCAAGGCTGTCCCTTCTTGTGTTGCCGGCCTTGCCTTCTTCGTGATGATAGCTTTCTCAGACCTGTACCGACTCCTTTGGTGCTTGAGGACAACCCACATTGCCTTTTATTTGCTGATCCTTTCGCAATGCATATGGTCAGGAGTGCATCAAGCTGATCCTCCTCCACAGATTGTCTCGTCGTTCTGCTTCTCTGGCCACATACCTCATCGTAACATGTGAGTATCAGCTCCATAGTCTCTGGCCGGTGCTCGCCTAGTGTTGGGCGGTCGCATAAGATGACAACCATTCAGACCTGTTCTGATCCTACATGGAGATAACCATATTATTGCCAATTGTTCCTTCTGATGCACACTCCGCTTTCCCTTGATCCCAGTCATACCGTCGAATGCATTGCTAATCGTCATCTTCTGCAGAGTACCCCATATTGCACCGCTCTGCACATGTTGCCGCAGACTTTATCATCATCATCATCGCTACGGACTATGGAATCGGATATCCTCTCGTACATTGCATCTTATCGACTACCCGGGCTCGATTGTATGTATAGTACCGCTGAACAGTCTGTGTATTCGATCGTCTTTCCGCATTGCAAGACTGGTCGTGCCCTTATGATGAGGATGGGAGTGTCCGTCATGAAGTTTGTCACCAGTGTCGGGGGCTGTTACTGTACTTTGACGAATCCCTTCTTCCTGTGCGGCCGAGAACCCACTGGGACATGTGTCACCCGCAACTGCACAGGTTGCCGGTAATAGCTCGGTGGCTTCGCCCCGACAATGATGCTCAAGTTCTCAACCCAGTCCGACCACATCTCTACATTGTACAATGGACTCCACTTTCTCAGCACTCACGGTGCACTATGCAATATCGACTGGCGACGTGTTTCGTACATATTGGCGCCGCAGCGCAGTCGTGATACAACAACAACTGCGGCGCAGCCTTGTTTGGCTGTCCGTCACACTCCGCTTTCTGGGCAGTGTGACTCCAGAGCAACTTGGATGCATAGTTCGCCATTAGTCAGCGCCACAGCAGGTGAACCCTGGGTCGTAGGACTTGCTTAGACACCTGCTAGAATTTTGCTAGACTCATTGGAGAGAGCCT